AAAGCAGAAGTCCCCAGCCTTTTTGGCACCAGGGACCAGTTTTGTGGGAGACAGTTTTTCCACAGGACAGGGCAGGGGATGGTTTTGGGATGAAACTGTCAACCTCAGATCATCAGGTATTAGTTAGATTCTCATAAGGAGCATGCAACCTAGATCCCTCCCATGTGCAATTCACAGTAGGGTTCGTGCTCCTATAAGAAGCTAGTGCCTCACTGATCTGACAGGAGGCAGAGCTCAGGGAGTAATGCTAGCTCACCAGCTGCTCACCTCCTGCTGTGTGGCCCGGTTCCTAACAGGCCACAGACCCATACTGGTCCACGACCTGGGAACTGGGGACCCCTGTTTTAAAGGATTCTATGCTGCATTTGACATAGCTGATGGTATTAGTTTCCTGAGGCTACTGCCACCAATTACCACAGACCTGATGACTTCAAACAACAGAAGTTTATTCTCTTACCATTCTAGAGGCCAGAAATCCAAAACCAGTTTTACTGGGTGTGCTCCCTTTGGAGTTTCTAGAGAAGAATCTGCCAGCATTCCTTGGCTTGTGGCTGCACCACCCAATCTCTGCCTCTGTGGTTACACTGCCTCCTTCTCTCATGTATGTATCAAACATTCCTCTGCCTGTGCCTTATAAGGGCATTAGTGATGGCATTTAGGGTCTATCTGGATAATCCAGGATAATCTCCCTGTCTCAATATTCTGAATCACATCTGTAAACATTTTCCCATAGAAGGTAATATTCACAGGTTCCAGAGGAAAGAACCAGGTATCTTTGGGTGGCCATTATTCAGCTTGCTACACTGACCGTTCTCATTCTTTGTCAAAACTCCACCCCTCTGAATTCTGGCACATTGTTCTGTACTCTTGTTTTGCTACCTGACAAGTGCATCTTGGCTTCCTTTGTGGGCCTTTCCTTTTCTGTTTAATCCCACATGGGGGCCATCCTTTGCTCACCTAGCACACTTTTCTCACTGGGACAATTTCATGGACTTCTGTGATTCATCACTCTCCCATCTGTATCTTTTTTTTTTTTTTTTTTTCTTGACACAGAGTCTCGCTCTGTCGCCCAGGCTGGAGTGCAGTGGTGTGATCTCGGCTCACTGGTGCAAGCTCCGCCTCCCAAGTTCATACCATTCTCCTGCCTCAGCCTCCCGAGTAGCTGGGACTACAGGCTCCCACCATCACGCCCGGCTGATTTTTTGTATTATCAGTAGAGACGGGCTTTCCCCGTGTTAGCCAGGATGGTCTCGATCTCCTGACCTCGTGATCCGCCCACCTCGGCCTCCGAAAGTGCTAGGATTACAGGCATGAGCCACCGCGCCCATCCCCCCCATCTCTATCTTTAGCCGTGATTGCTCCCTGTAATTATCAGACTCAGTCTGTAGCTGGTCAGATGCCTACCAAAAATATATCTCTCTGGATGTTCCTCAAGTCCCTCACACTTAATAATCTTCTAAAATGAAATTCATGTTCTTCCTCTCACCAAAAGCAGAAGTGTAACTGGGTTCTCACACTGTGGAGCAAACATGTACAAAAGGAATTCCCCTGAATGGATATGGGGGGATCTAGGGGCAGGGAAGGGCCCGTACTAATCACTGACAGAGGGCATCTCACATAAAAAAGGGATGTCCCTTTTACTGCCTTCTCCACCGTCTCCCACATGGACTCACCATTGTGTCTCAGTTAAGTAGTAAACTGACAAATTGTGATTTTTCTCACTTTAGTAGGCATCACTATGAGATACACACTTTTTGCTAGGCCCAGTGCAAAATGGAAATGCAGAACCTCTTGTTCAAAGATTAGCAGGAATTTCCAGAGTAGCAAAAGCTGAGTATTAAGCCCTTCTATGCCCAGGACCCTGTATGACTACACAGGTCACATGCCTGTAAAGTTGGCCCTGCCTGGAAGTCATTTCTTCTCTCTCTTCCCACTGCCTGGATCTAACCAGTCTCCAAGACCTGCCATGCTATTCCTCAAATGTCTCCTATGTTCTTTCTCATTCTCTTCCATCATTGCCTTAGTGCAACCCCTTATTCCCTCCACTTGTTCTTTCTGGCTCAGGTCTTTAGATCCAGATGAATCATCTAAAATGCAAATCTGGTCAGGTCACTCCCCAGCCTGAAATGCTCCAGTGGCCTCTCGTAACCATAAGGATAAAGTCCCAGGTACTTAGTAAAGTCTGCCATGGTGAACTCAAAGTGATGATAATATCAAACCTCTTTTAGTGCTTGTGTATGTCCTAGTGTGACACATCTCTGTGCCTTTTCTATTGCTGCTACTCCCACTCTTTACCTGGACAATGTATTCTTTTGAGTCTCACAGCTCAACTAATTGTGTGCGTGTGAATGTGTGTGTACATAAACATTTTTGTAACAGTGCCTGGAATATAATTAGCACAGTACGTATTAGCTATTATTATTATTCCAGGAAACCCTCTTGGACAAATTAGGCTGAAAAGCCTTCTTTCATGTCACCATAGCACACTGTGCATATTTTATCTTACCACATTATAGTGAAGATGTGTCTCTGTCTGCCTCCACAGCTAGAGTGCAAACTCCTTGAGGCAGGGACCATGTCTTACTCATCTTTTCATCCTAGTGCCAAAGTGGTATAGTGTCCTGTGCATCTTATGCATTCAAAAAATCTTTGTGTATTCAACTGATCCCCAACATACCTTCCAATCATTTTTAGTCCTAGAGGGGTTTCTTAAAAAGCATTTTCATCAGATGAGACCCCACCCCTGAGGGGACAAAGAGAAAGAGAAGGAGTGTTTTCAGCCACCACCTGAGGCCACCATGTTCTTCCTCTCTTACACATCTAGTACATACCCCCTTAGGTTTCCCATAAACCCTGTCTTCCCTGTGGACAATTTCTTCAATCGTTAGTGGTGTATTTCTTCTTTCTCTCTCTCTCTCTCTCTCTCTTTTTATTTTATTTTATTTTATTTTATTTTATTTTTTTGAGATGGAGTCCCACTGTATCACCCAGGCTGGAGTGCAGTGGCATAATCTCAGCTCACTGCAACCTCCGCCTCCCAGGTTCCAGCAATTCTCCAGCCTCAGCCTCCCAAGTAGCTGGGATTACAGGCGTGTACCACCACGCCCAGCTATCATTAGTGGTGTGTTTCTCCAATGATGTCCCTAAATCTTCTTCCCTGGGGCCTGCGCCTCTCTTGAACCTCCCCATTCTACACCTAGTGCATGCTTTGCCAGGGTAATTCCAAAAGAGTCTGGGGGTCGGGGCTGGTGGTAGAAATCCTACATGTCATGGCTGGATCTTTCCTGGAAGTCTGGGTTGGAATAGGTATTAAAGAGGCCACTCTGAATGTATAAATCTAACTAAAAATGTATGTGATTGGTGGGCATTTTTTCCAACCTAATAAAGTCCCTTTCCATCTCCCAGCTCTTTGTATTTTAAAAGCCAGGTCACTAGATTTGATAATTCTGGAGAGAACTGACTGAAAAGAGTTGGTTTGATTAGAAATAGAGGTTCAACACTTTTACACTGTTGGTGGGAATGTAAATTAGTTCAACCATTGTGGAAGACAACGTGGTGAATCCTCAAAGACCAAAAACCAGAAATACCATTTGACCCAGCAATCCCATTACTGGGTATATACCCAGAGGAATATAAATCATTTTATTACAAAGATACATGCACGCATATGTTCATTACAGTACTATTCACAATAGCAAAGACATAGAAACCACCCAAATGCCCGTCAATGATAGACTAGATTTTAAAAATGTGGTACATATACACCATAGAATACTATACAGCCATAAAAAGGAACGAGATAATGTCCTTTGCAGGGACATGGATGGAACTGGAAGCCATTATCTTCAGCAAACTAACACAGAAACAGAAAACCAAATACTGCGTGTTCTCACTTATAAGTAGGAGATGAACAATGAGAACACATGGGCACAGGGAGGGGAACAACACACACTGGGGCCTGTAGGGGGAGGAGCTGGGGGGAGGGAGAGCATTGGGAAGAATAGCTTAATAGATGCAGGGCTTAATGGGTTGATAGGTGTAGCAAACCACCATGGCACACGTCTACCTATGTAACAAAACTGCACATCCTGCAAATGCACCCTGGAACAAAATAAATAAAATAAAATAAAATAAAGAGGTTTGAGTCTTTCCTGGTAAGCTTATTTATGCTCTATCACAGATGGTTCAGCCTTGGGGCAAGATAGTCTTTCTCCTAACTTTTGTAGTTTTGAACATTCTAAAGTTTTTGTTGTTGTTGTTGTTTTCCGTGAGGACAGAGGCAACTTCGGGGAAGTACTCTGTGGGGTAGGATGGAATTTGGGGCCTTTAGTTTTCCTTCCAAGAGCCCGTAGGAGGTTTTGGGTGCCTTCTCAATGATGGCATGAGAAAATATAAAGCAGATGGCCGGGGGCGGGGCGCAGTGGCTCACGCCTGTAATCCCAGCACTTTAGGAGGCCAAGGCGGGCGATTCACGAGGTCAGGAGATCGAGACCATCCTGGCTAACACGGTGAAACCCCGTCTCTACTAAAAATACAAAAAAATTAGCCGGGCGTGGTAGCGGGCGCCTGTAGTCCCAGCTACTCGGGAGGCTGAGGCAGGAGAATGGCGTGAACCCGGGAGGCGGAGCTTGCAGTGAGCGGAGATCGCGCCGCTGCACTCCAGCCTGGGCGACAGAGCGAGACTCTGTCTCAAAAAAAAAAAAAAAAGGTGAACTTTGGTATATTCACTGCTTATAAATGTTATGTGGAAAAACATAAGCTGTTTGCTGTTTACAATTCGTTTGCTGTATTTTGTGCATGTGGACAAAAATGGGGGAAGAAATGAAAGATGTGTTAGGATAATGAGTATACGGCTGAATTTTCCAGGAATTTCTATAGTAATACCAAATCGCATGTTTTAATGCCCACCGTGAACAAAAGAAGACCGGAACCCTCGCGACTCATTTTGACGTTTTCTGGTCGGCGGTAAAAACTCGGTTCCCGGCCCTCCCGGAAGTTGTTTCACAGTTGTTTCCGGGAAGCGGGACTCCAAATGGGTCGCAGTCGTAGCCGCTCCCCACGGAGGGGTGAGTCCTGTAGCATTTCGGAGGATGTGGGGCTCTGTCGGAGGCCGGTCCCTTTTGTTTTATTTTGTTTTGTTTTTGGTAGCCGGGTAGTAGAGAGGCGGGCTCTTTTCCCCAGGAGGAGAGCGAGGGGTGGATAAAGGAACGTAGACCTGGGCCCTTCCCTCTTCAGCCCACCTTCTCCGGTTTGAAGGCAGTGTCTCTGAATTAGTTTCATTAAGTCTTTGTCACCTTCATACAATAACCTTTATTACACTGTGGTCGGTGGGTTTAGAATTAGGCCTCAGTTCCTTTGCTGAATTTCTGGGCGACGGTGGGCAAGACACTACTCAGCCTTTCTGAATCGAATTCCCAGAATTAGTCATTGAGGGTACTATTGCCAACTTTTAAAAACTGATGTGATAATTAATGTCACATCCCATAACATACAGTATGTGATTCTGCCTAGTTCTTAAATACTTAATAAATGTTAGATTCCTGCCCAGGTCATTACAGGGAAATCGATATTAAGAGTTTTGAGTCCTGGGAGCTCACTTCGTAATGTTTTCTGGCTCCCAGCCCCATAAATGAGGCAGCGCGATGTAAAGAAAGCTGGACTTCCATCAGGAGATCTAACTTAGACCCTCGGTTCTGCCCCGATTCGTTGGTTTTTTTCTTTTTAATCAATTTATTTACTTTTAATGAGACAGAGTCTCGCTCTGTCGCCCGCCCAGGCTGGAGTGCAGTGGCCGATCTCAGCTCACTGCAACCTCCACCTCCCGGGGTCAAGCGATTCTTCTGCCTCAGCCTTCCTAGTAGCTGGGATTACCCGTCCGTGCCACCACGCCTGGCTAATTTTTGTATTTTTATTAGAGACGGGGTTTCGCCGCATTGGCCAGGCTGGTCTCGAACTCCTGACCTTGTGATCCGCCCGCCTGGGCCTCACAAAGTGCTGGGATTAAAGGCGTGAGCCACTGGCCTCTTTTTACCTTTTTAATGTGACTAGTAATGGTTTGCATTATTTTTCTACTGGACGGCGCAGCTCTAGATATTTGAGGTAATTTTCAGTTCTGCAATTTGTGTGCGATTCCATTAGAACGTAGGCGTTCCCGGTCCACATCCCGGGAGAGAGAACGCAGGCGCCGAGAAAGGTCCAGGTCTCGGGAGAGAGATCGGAGAAGGAGCCGTTCGCGATCCCCGCACCGAAGACGCTCCCGGTAAGGGTAGAAAATAAGCCGAGAGCTTTATTTACCGAAAGTCCCTAAGAAACTGGTCGCTGCTCTTAACTTTGTTTTGATCGCTTATAAGGGGATTTACAGTTTCCTGAAATGGAGGAAACTTAATCCAACCGTATTCTAAAGCTAACATTCAGCTTGGTTAAATGGGGCTAATAGTACTCTACATCGCAAAATTGTCTTGAGGAGTAAATAAGAAATAACGCATGCAAACCACAGAGCATGGTGCTTGGCAAGAAGAAGAAGTAAGTATTTTATATTTTTGTTTCTTTCTTTTTTTTTTTTTTTTTTTTTTCTGAGACAGGGTCTCACTCTGTTGCACAGGCTGGAATGCAGCCGGGCAACGTGGGCTCACTGCAACCTCTGCCTCCCCTGGTTCAAGCGATTCTCCTGCCTCAGCCTCCCGAGTAGCGGGGACTACAGGCATGTGCCACCACACCTGGCTATTTTTTTTTTTTTTTTGTATTTTTAGTAGAGA